AAAAATAAGTAAATAAACAAACAAACAAATAAAATAAAGTAAAAACCTAGGGCATGGGGCCTGAGGGAGATGGGAACCATCCTTCCCAGCACACAATCCCGTCTCCTCACCATCAGCCACCCTCCACTAAGACCCCAGTTATGACAGGACTCGTCAGCAGTCTGATGACTGGGCTGTTGAGCGAAAAGGCAGGTCCGGAAATGAGAGGGCTTGGAGGCACCTACATTCAGCCGTGCCATTTCATAGACGAGGAGCTGAGGTCTGGACAAAAAAAAAAGTCCTTCCACCTTTTATAATGATTAAAAAATAATGTTCATATCTAAAGAGTAATCTTTTTTCTTTCCCTGTTAGTCTGGACACAGGGAAAATGTGATATATTAATATGCCTCTATTTAACTTTAACATATTATTAAAGTATCAGCATTTTTTGAATGCTTATTTATATAACCTCTTCTCAAATTTTTCTATTATACCAAATATAATTTTCACAACAAAAAACTTACTTCACTTTTTGTTGCCATATAGAATAATAGGAGGATAGACTACATTAAGAAAGTATAATAGGATCATCATAATGCTTGAAATGCCTTTAATTGTGATATTAGCCCAAACTGAGAATGTTTCCTGAAAGCCATAAAATTTCCCAGTATGTACAAGTTTTTCTAAATGATTAAGGATTAGAACTCTTTTCTTATGAGAAGTCCTTTAGTCACCTTGTAAACCTCCAGTCCACAGTATCCTGGGAATTTGGAAGGAACTGGTGATGACACTGAATAATCAAGCCTCCCCAACAATAGCTAAATTCTCAGTACCAAGCTCCCTTTTTAAAGATACTTAAATTTGATTACATTACCAAGGAGAATGAGCACACTATTTACTTATAGATGTCCAGTTATACAAGCCCTTGCCTAACTGGCACCAAGGGTATCAGACAAAGAGCTAAAACAGAAACAGCAAGAGAGGAAGCATGTGTGTGCATGTGTGTGCATGCACACATTAACACACACACATATACACACACACACACACACATTGTAAAGGGCTTCATAGGCAAAATATGTCCATTTATCTGCCTAGGGATAAGTTATGGTGACCCACAGAAATTTTGTGACTGTTTGCCCTGCCAGAAAAAAACCCACCTTACCACTCCCAAGATAATATCAGGTCATAACATTGTTTATAGACTCTGACATTCAACTACAATTTATTGAGAAGCTATTATAAGGTATACATGTGCTGGACTCTGGGGAAACAAAAAAATGAGTGAGATAGGTATGATTTCTGTAATTCCTAGGCTAAGGGCCCAGGAAGTTAGAGGGAAAAAAAGTAGGTAAATTCCATCCCTGTCCAGCACATGGCATTGCATACTGTAATGGATGAAGTTCCAAATATAATAAAAAAAAAGTACAGGAGACCTGAGGAGTAAAGACTAAACCTAAAAGATGACTAGGACTTACTAGGTGAGTAGGGCAAGTCAGAATTAGGGACAGAGGATTCCAGAATGAGAGAAATATGCATACAGAAGACTTGCAGGAAGAAGAAACATGAAACTTTTGCAAAGTTCAAAGTCATTCAGTATGGCAGGAGCCGAGGAGAAAAAGAGGGAAAGAATGATTGAATGTGAAAATGTGTGTGGATATTTGTAGAATCAGGAGTGAGAGTAAATGGGATGGTAGACTGGTGACCACTAAAACAGGAGCAAGACTTAAAAAGAGCTTTATAAGACAAGGTGAGGATTTGGAACTTAAGGGCATACACAGGTGAGTAATGTGATCAGGTTTCTGCTTCAACAGAATACTCTAGCTACAGGCTGCAGGTGAAGGAAGATTGCCATTAGCAAGAGGTTGCAGATAGACTCAACTAAGGAAGTTGCTATCAGCACTGAGAAAATTAAATAAATAACCATGCCAGGAGTTAGAAAGAATAGCTCTTGGATTAGGAGTGGGAAGCCAGAGCCAAAACAAAATCCAGGTTCTGGTTAATCAGTTGGATGGAAGAGGAAGCAGAACTGGAGGTCTTGAACTCCAGATCTTATAGGACACACAAATAAATCTACCTATTTGGTATTTAGACCTGGAGCTCCGAAAAGATATAGGAGCTACAGCAAAAATTTTAAAAGTATCAGCATTAAGAGAGGATCTGCTGACATGAAAATAGAGCAAATTACCCAAGAATGTATATAAATGAGAAAAGGAAAATGTCTCAGATAAACAGTGTGGAACATAACTAAAACAGTAAAAGAAGAGGATCAACCCCAACTCCCAAAGACCACCTCCACACACACATAGAGTGCTAGGTTCTTAAAGTATGTATTTAAAAAGAGAAAAAGAGAGACTGAAGAGAAAAACCCAGAAAATTCGTAGACAGACCAGCTGAGAATCACGGAAACAAAGGAGATTATTTCGAGTCCTTCAATTAGGACTCAAAATACTCTTTCCCTTAAAATGAGGCCTGATGAGTGTCTGCTAACTAACAAGGATGTCACAACAGACCTTGACAGGAGCATTTCCTGGTGGGGAGGAAGAGGAATAGCAGTGGCAATGAGTTGTCCCTACTTTATAAAGAGTGTACCTGAGAAGGGGAGGAGAAAAGATAGGCCGACTAGGCAGTGAGGATTGAAGAGGATGCTTTAGTTTGTGTTGGCTCAGTTTTGTTTTCTTTATAGGCTAGGAAAGGCTTGAGGGTTCTTTAAAATGCTAATGAGAAGACAACTGAGCTAGGAAAATTGAGACAAGATAAAGAAGAGCACATGGGGAGATGGCTTTCTAGGAGGCTGAGACGAGATGAAAAGCAAAGCTGAAAAATTAACTAGAAGAGAAGGGAAATCTGCTGTTCCCCACTGATGGTAGTGGTAGACAAGCTCTCAGTATGAGCTTTCCCTTGCATTTCTTCCTGTGAATATAGCTTTTCTTGGAATTCAGACTACTCACTCCTCTGAAACAGCAGACCACATCTCTCCAGCTTCTCTTTCTACAGTGCAAGTCTGTTCGTCTCTTTTCTAGGTACTTAATAGTAAACCAGGCATCTCAGTATCTCAGAACATTGTTTTAAACATATTCACTACTAAACATGTATGTATATACATAATTCATGTTCCATTTTAATTGGATACCAGACCAACTTACCTATAAAGTTTGAAGTCAATAATGTTTTCAGCAAGCTCAATTATTTATATTTGAAAAGCATCCAAAATTTCATTAGTCAAATTATGTCTCTGTCAACGATAACCCATAAAGTTTGGTATAAATTTAGGACCAGAGGGAACTTTCCATATAGTTACAGCTCAGTCTTACCAGAATTAACTTAGGAAATGGTGACTCAGGTGAAATAAATAATCCCTTAATGAGCTCAACATCGTCTATTCAGACAGGATACCCTGTGTAAGGGAAATGTGGGCTCCCTCTCTAGTTAGCTATTATTATTAAACACTAAAGCTAACTGTCTTACAAAGAAAATGAAAACATCATTTTGTTGAGGTGAAATCATCAGTTCGATTAATCGGAATGAAATCAGATAATTATACTGTGTAAAAGATAAAGGCAGTAAATTGTTGGTACCAAAATAAAGCCACAAGGAGGAAGAGGAGACACAGAGGAAGAAGTGGTGACAGTGATGCCATTCTACATAGTCCCCCCCACAGTCTATCTCCAGGAAATAAGGAAACAGGGAAGTCACTGTGACTCACCTTGGTGGGTCCATTTCCATTAATTGCTACCGGTAATGTTTCATAAAACACATTTTTAGCTCTGGCTTTGCCATTTTCAAACTTCAAAACAACTTCATCTGGGTTAAAAAGAAAAACAGGTCTTAGTAATTTAAAGTGTGAGAGTGTGTATGTATTGATACACACATGCATATGCATCTATCTATAGATCTTGTTGCTGTAAAATTCCTCAGGTAGTAGCAACTCTATAACATCTTACTACACTGATGGACAGTGACTGTAATGGGGTATGTGGGGGGGACTTGATAGTGGGGGGAATCTAGTAACCACAAGGTTGCTCATGTAATTGTATATTAATGATACTAAAATTTAAAAAATTCTTCAGCATGCTATTCCATGTCTTATGACACTTAAAGAAACATCGCCTACTTCAAATCAGCAGCTACCCAAAATGAAAGATGACACTGACACACATTCAGGTTCTGAACACCTCACTTATTCCAAGCTGGTGCCAGCAAACTAAGGTGCTAAGCCACTGAGGTATGTGGTGGAAGGAGAGGATCACTGCAGTCCTACGTCTGCCTTTTGAAGTGATGTGATCCTAGATCAATTAAATTATTGTCCTGTTTTATTCATCTATAAAATGGGATCCTTGCCTACCTTTCAAGGTTATTATGATGGTAATGACAATATATGCATGGCAAATAGAACACTGCCAGGCACAAACAAGGTTTCTACAACTGGCCATCACTGATAGCATTTCCAGTTCTTAAAAATCGGGCCTAATGCAAATTCCAGGAATATGCAAGACAGATCAGCACAGAATGGTTTTCAAGTTATTTTCCTTGTATTTCCTGAGCACTCTAAGCTAAATGCTTTCCAGTCTGAGAATCACTTTACTGTATGAACTGCCTTGAAGAATTGCATTAAATTACAATGTATTTTTAATTTTCAAAGTATGAATGTATTAATGAATTGATGTACTTCAATTTTTAATATATTGATTAATCAAATGTATTACTACATTTTCATCAAGATATATGTCTATCTAGGAAAACAAACATGCACACAAACACATACATACATTCCACAGGGGGCACACCTAGTTATCAGTTACCTTTCGGCTAAGTTAAAATACTCTAATACTCCTAAGCAATTCACAATACAAATAACATATACTGAAAATTGGGTAATCAATTTTAAAATATATTTACAGACCACAGATGGTCCTAAGTTATTAAGGCCAGAAACTTATCTTATCTTTTTTGCACTAATCTTGGGAAATAATTTTAACTGAATGTATTTAACTATATCAAGTTTAGCTCAGTCCATTATTTTTTAAAAGTTGCAAAATCTATGTGGTAAACCTTAGTCATAGCCTCAAAATGGATATAACAAAGGACAGATGATTGAAAATGCAGGTGTTCACTTATATACATGTGCAATCCAATATTGTAGGCATACCTACAGCTCCATTTAAGGTCTGGAAAATTTTGCATTTGTGATCCAATGTGATGTTAATAGCTTCCTAAAAAGAAGAATAGAGATAATATTGAAAAGGACAAGAAAAGCAGCTAACCCATCATGTTAATATAGTTTATTCTTTGGGGGAATTTAAAGATCCTATAAGTAAGCCATTCAGGCAATATATTTGGAAAGACAGGAAGATTATAATTTTATTGTTGATTAAATTGGAGGATAAAGGATATGGTAAAGCATTCATGCTGTTCTCCAAATATTTCCATTTCTCTACCTTATGACTAATTCTGACCAGTAAATTGTCAGCAAAAATTAAATTATCACCTCTAATGTGGAACATGCAATTACCAGTTTAAGACCCTAAGTGTGATCTTTCTCTCTGGCACATGAATCAGTAAGGCTTGAGATGGCTGCTCTATCAGCTAGGGTCCCCAAGTAATAAATTAAGCAGAAACCCCATTGCTGACCTACAATGGACAGGTAGCAAGACAAATAAACCTTGGTTGTGTTACACTGTTGGGGTTAGGGCTTGTTACTGCAGCATAACCTTGCCCACTGCACTGCTACAATAAGTCTGTAATTAATCAGTCTAATTATAAAGATTCATCTGCTTTACAAACCATATGATTCTCAATCTACTCATTTTTCCTTTACACTGCTCTGTCATAATAATATTCCTAAAATTGTCTTTGCAGTGCTGTTATGGACTGAATGTTTGTATCCTGTCAAAATTCCTATTGAAGTCCTAATCCCGCATGTGATGGTACTTGGAGATGGGGTCTTTGGGAAACAACTAGGGTTAAACTGAGGTCAGGAGAGTGGGGACCTCATGATGGGATTAGTGCCCTTAAAAGAAGAGATACCAGAGAGTTTGTGTGCATTCTCTCTCTCTGTGTCTTTGTGTGTCTCGCTCTCCATGTGACGTGCCTGCTGTCTACAAACCAGGGGAGGGCTCTCTCCAGAACCCAACCAGGCTGGCACCCTGATCTCAGATTTTCAGCCACCAGAACTATGAGAAAATAAATATCTTCTCTTTAAGCACCCAGTCTACGGTATTTTGTTATGCCAATCAAGCAGACTAAGACACACATGTTAACCAGATAAAATTATATGCTTAGAGAGAAACTTACACAAGAGTTATACAATTAAAAATATTACAAACCCAGCAGTGAACTTCAGAGGAGGATCCTAAAGCAAAGACAGCTAAATAAGATTCAGAGTGCTTTCACAGTAGAGCGACAGCGAGACAGACAAGCATGCTGCATGGGCTAGCACTGAGGCCAAGAGCAGATTTCTCCTCCCAGATGAGAGGCCAAGTCCTCAGGACTTCCACATCAGGCAATCAGTGGACGGTAAAAAACAGATGAAGAAAAATAAACATTTTAAGAAGGAAGTTTCTAAAGTATGAGTGTGTAATGAAAATATCTAGGTGACTTAATATTTAAGAAACTATGGCTGCAAACTCACTGTAAAACAGAGTTTTAACAAACTTACATTTCCTAATGACAGCACCACAAGTACACAATTTAGTAAATTTTATAACTTTATCAATTATATGGAAGTTAACTTATGAAACCTTAACTTACTTCAGGTAAATATACTAAAAATGTTCCAAATTAGGGAACTTTAGTTCTACTTTTCTCCAAAGTTTCATTTAAATCAATCTCAGGAATATTCTCTCTAGGGCCATGGCAAATTGCTATTATCCCCAATATCCCCCAACTTTTAATGACAGAATTCAGAATGGTAGTAGGATACATGTACTTGAAATAAAGAACAAAATCTCCTTTGCTTATTATGTGCAGCCACATACATATATTCTGGTCAAATAAAAATATCAGGAAGTATTCTGTGAGACTTCTACAAAGGTCACTTAAACAAAGTTGACACAAATGGACCCTTATTTACTGTTCTGCCAGCTAAATGTCTAGGGTATGGATGCAGTGGCCAGAGCTCCAGTAACTACCTTGGAAAAGGAGGTTACATTGAAAATGGGAGTTACTGCATACCCTTTTCAGTGGATCAATGTAAACTTTTGTGTAAAATAGCTGATCATCATCATTATCCTGGAGATTCCATTGTTGAACTATACGGTTAATATATGGAGCATAACCAATAAATCCTGCAATGTAACAGAGAAAAAATGGAGAATTTATTATTCAAACACCAATTTATTACTCAGCCACTCATGTCTATGTTCATGCCATTGACCAGTTGCATAGAGTTGTAAAGACTTCAGGCCTAAACCTTAGGTTGGAATTTCACAGCTCACCATGACAGAAATATAATTATTGAACATCCTTTGTTTTATATATAAACTACAATAGCATGAGGTTTTACTACCAATTCCAAATAAAAGATTTTTGGAGTAAACACATTCCTAAAACTAATTGACACAAGAAGGGGAAACAATGGTTTCCAAGGTTCCTAAGGAAAAAGTATTACTAAGAAAAAATAGAGTAAGAAAGTGGAGTTTTCTTTCTGACCTTCTAAAATGCCCTCCTTCAATCCTTTGTAGAGGATTCACTGTTGCTGGGGAATAAAAGCTCCACCACAGTGGTTTTAATGCCTGCGCAAAGAAGCTAATGCAATCAAAGAAATGTTGGATTTGTCACTGACTGCGAACATCCCAAAGAAATTTTATATCTAGAACATTTTGGGATTTTTTCCTTTACTCGAGCTAGTCATTTTTGTACCTGCTAAACCACTTTGTGGCCAGGTTTTGTGTATCATAGTCTGGAGAAAAGAAGTCTAAAATTGGAATGTTTCCCTTGGCCTAAGAGCATAAGCATTAAATTTGCCAGTAACAGTAGTCTATAAAAGACACAGACAACAGGAGGATTTTTCCCTGTTTGAATTTTCAGAAATGCAGCCAAACTGCTATGTTTCATTGACATGCAATATTTCTGAAAAAGGACCAATGTTACTCTTGTGAATTGAAAGGAAACCTAATTATTTATCCTCAGAATTAAAATTTCCTCATAGGAATAAAAGAATTGTAAGAAATAGGTCCAACAATATTACTGTTACCAAAAGAAAACAAGACAAAATGAAAACATGGCTAAAACAAGAACTGGTGGCTCATTTTTGTTATTTTCACCAAATTAAAAAAAGTTAAAAAACTGAAAATTACTGCATTTTTAATTCCTATGACCAATCTTCTGTGATGAAAAATACATCCAAGCATGCCTGACACATTACATTTTCCAATGGTTTATATCACTATTTTTCAAAAAATTGCTTCCTTACCTTTTTTAAACCTCAAATGTCCTAAAAAAAAGAATTACAGCTATTTTCATAGCATTTTATATGATTTATATTTTTCTATCAAAATGCAATATTATTTCAAATCAGTAGTTTCTAATATTCTGAACTTTTCCTCAAAGGGAAACATGCTTAGTATCCATGATAAAGATATTTTTTTAAACTAAACAAAACTCATGTTCCTTAAATAATTCTCAATATATCATTCATGAAATTACATACACTCTTATTGAAAATATTTAAAATTTCTAACATCTTTTTAATTATTTTGACTGCAAAAAGGACAAAGACTTTGGATGTCCTTTCATGATCTTTTTCCTACTTATAAACACCTTTTACTTAAGCTTGCTCTCAAAGGCACTCACTTACTAGTTTTTTTTGCTGTTTCCACAGTACTGTGTGACTGTCTGAAATTTAGATTCCTGAGTATATATGTCACTAACTAGATGAATTTACTTATGATACTTCAGTACACATGTCATGTTTGGAAAAATTAATAAATATAAAACTTACCCCAGAGTTTCATAGTTAAATGGTTTTTTAACTATCTATGACTTAGGTAAGTTAAAAGATAAGCCATGTGTGTTCCTGAGGGCCTGGAAATTTGAGCACCTGACTCAAAGGAGTCAAGAGTGGGCAGCTGTCCAGAGGGGCTTTGTCAGGGCTTGAGCTGTAGACTTAGGTGGAAAAGACTGCTGAGACAATAGGGACAGGATGACAAAGATGAGTAACCCTATGTTCTGACTTGAATGTGGATGTAAATCCAAAGGAGGTAGATAGATAGGAGAAAAATAAAATGACCAAAAGGTCTCAAAAAACATCAAGTGTAGATGTACCATATAGTGAGAAAAAGTAAGGTGAAACTAGGCAGTACAAACTTAAGGAATTGAAGGTTTCAGAAGTACGATATATATATATGGACTGACAAAGTTCCAAGGTGTAACTATGGGGGAAATGGGTTTCTAAAACAACGTGCAGATGAATAGAGATGGAAGTGAGGTGTCTTAGAGAAAGTAAATTACTTGCTACAGATTCCACTGCCCTAAGTAGCTGAGAAAGCCTAGAATCCAGACATGCTGCTATCTCACATTTGAACTAGCCCAAATAGTATCAGTTATACATATGTAAATCACCCCTGAAAAAATCTATTTTCCTAACATGGCTTGCAATTTCCACTAAACTTGTTTCTCTAATATGTCTCCAATCCTATTTGGTTATGTCTTCTGACCATATGTTTACATTAATCTCAACCTAAGGAGTAATGTGAAGTCGCAACAATGTACAAATTTCATTTTTTGAAAGGTGGGTAGGATAATTTGTTTCTTTAAACCATGGAGACATAGCCAATGTAGCACTGTTAAGTATATCCAGATACTCAGTGTTGAATATTTTCAATTAGTGAACTAAAGAGAAATCACTCATTTACTCTAATGTATTTTAAAATATACATAAAATTAAGTAATGTCTATTTTTAAAGCTATGTGATTGTAGTCTGCACTTTTTCATAAGAAAGGAAACTTACTAAACCTATTATTCTATAGCCAGAAAATTCTCAATGACACCATAACCAGAAGACCTGGATCCAAGTGGCTTTTCCTTTAAAAACTGTCTTTAGAAGTCACTTAAATGTGGGGAACATGGGAAAATGCTTTGTCAACTATAAAATGCACTCTGGATTTTAAACTGATATAATTTTCCAAAACAGTAAGAAGATAATGGTTATTTAAAACTTCATGTCTAGTTACATATACCAAAAGAGGTTGCTTCATCAATATTTATAATTTACTATGACTTGCATTACACATTTCTGACAGTATCTTACCCACCTCCCGAATTCAGGTAGCGTTTCCCAATGTGCACAATGGGATACTTGTCTGCTAGTCTTTTATCGGGCCACAGAATTCCATCTGCTGCAAAGACCACTTTGTGGTTTGACTTTTGAAACTTTTTTAGAACTTCTTCTGGACCACCAGCAAATATGACACTAAAGCTGTTTAATAAGGAAGAAAAGAAGTTTTAAAATACACTAGCAAGTGTATTTAGCAAGGAATTCAGGCACATAAACTAAGACACAGTATCAAAGAAAAGTAAGAATTCAGAATCCAATGCACGATTAATACCACCTATTTACAGAGTACATCATACAATTTTCCCTCCTCTTAAACGATATGGATTGTATTCAATTATTAGTGTTTACATTATATATCTTTGACAATGTGTTCAGTTACTAAATGTCATCAATGTGAATTTCTATTTGAATCACTATTCACCTGAAATCCTAAAATAAAAGTTTATAGATAAGCACATCTTTTAAAAGCTCAATAAAGTTGAAAAAATAATGTAAAAATTTACAGTATAATTTAATGCCTATAGTTTCACTGATTTTTCTGGGGACTTTGTCATAGTTCATCCACATAATCACAAAGACTTAACAAAGTACATGAAGTGTCAAGTCTCTACCTAATACGCTTCCACTCTGCAGTGAGTTCTTTAGGCTTGTACAACCACAATCTTTGCACTTTTTTTTACATTAGAGTACCTCAAGGCCAAAGGCTTCCAAGATAATGACTTAAAGTGGCAAACAATAAGAACAGAACTAATGTTCTTGAATTCAGCACCAGGTCTTTGTAACAGCCAAAACTCTAGATGCACTGCCATGATAGCTGAATGGAGGAGCAAGGAGGTTGGCCCATGAACCTTTCCCAGCCAACTTGCTGTCAAGGAGCTTGTTATAAGCTAGCATAGTAGGAATGAATTAGGCAAAATTTAATAACTTTCCATATATTAATTATTTTACAAAAGTAAAACACATTATTGCTCATCTCTATAAAAATAAAAACCTAATGAAGTTTTTCAAAATTACTTTAGCAAATGAGTGTAAGTTTACACTTGTGACAGAGATGCTAACTGACCCGTCACACATTCCCATGCCTGGATTTAATAACAGAATTCCCCCTTGTTAACTGGGCGAATGGCCATCCTGCTGAAGACTACTCTGAAGATAGATGTGGCCACATGACTCAGTCCATCCAGCAGAATGTGTGTGGACCTGATGTGCTCCTGTAATCTCCAGGTTCCATGCTGTCCTGGTCTTTACAAGGAAAGTTGCCTGTCCTTTGATTCTCCCATCTCTCTCTCTTTCCTCTTCACGGTTAACCAGACTTTACAAGTAAAAAGTATTTGACATACACACCCTAGCTATATAGACCACTGCTGAATCTTTGGAAAAAATAAAAACAAAAACATGAGGATTAAAATGTTGCTAATGTGCAACTTAATTTAGCAATTAAGCCTAGCCAATTTCTTAAAAAATAGTAAAAATAGGATTAGAATTAGCAAGAGAGACTATTTATTTTCATCTAAATTGTCCTAAAGGACTTCAATTTTATCATTTGTTGTCATTTTACTTCCAAAGTGACACTTCAAAATTAAAACATAAATATATATAAACATAACATACATATGTATATACACATATATACATATACATTTTGGTACTTTGTATTTTTCTTTCAGGATCAATAAGCAAGAAACTATTAATACTATTAGTAACATAATCATAAAGTGACTCAGGTCATACAATTTAAAGTTTGACATTTGGTTTCTAATTCTAGCTCTGCCACTTGCTATCTGAACACCCTTAGACAAGTTAATTACTTATATTCTTTATGCTTCAGTTTCTTTAGTATAAAATGTTTAGTAACTATCTCACCAAGTTATTATAAAACATAAAAAATTAAGAATACATGGTACATTATAGCACCCAATAAAGTTAACAAAATATTAACATTATTATTACTAAAAGAAAGGGACTAGAGTAAAGGGAAAGGCAGAAGGAAAATTCACTTTTAAGTTTACACCAATCTCTAGTTTAAAAAATAATTTCATTTTTGGCCAGACACACATAAATTTTAAGATAAATTTTAAATCTGAATAAATTTGTTCTAACTTTGAACCAACTTTTCCCTATTATTTAAGAACTAAATTAATCTGACTTCTCAAAATCATATATACAAAACTATATGAAATTTCTTTTTCTTATAAATCAATACAATTGATTTCCTCAAATAGCTACTTAACATTTCTACTTCCTAAGATAATTCTCTTTTTTACAGGGGTATTTTCCTCAAGACTACAGACTGTTAAATGTTTTTAAATTGAAGATTAGAATAGAAGAACAGTTTTATGGGTAAGTGAGGCATGAGAGACAGTGCAAATAAATCAAACTTTCTGATACAGAGACTGCTATGCACATTGCAGAGTAAACCCACATTGCCTAGAGATGGAAAAAAAAGAGCTTATGTATAATTGGAGATCTGGACCAAACTGGTTCAGAAATTTTGTAGGTAGCATCATATATTCAAAGTTATAAATGCATGTTTGGAAAATGTTTTTGCAATCCTAGTGAAGGTAATAGCATTTACACCATGTATTTCAAGCTTAACAGAAGTCAATAGCTTCAAAAGGAGGAGATGGAGCAACTTCTACTTTTTATAATTTGGTTATTTTGCAAGCATACATTAACTACCTTTATAACAAAAAGCAATTATTTTAAAGTAAAATGTAATGGCAAAAACTATCTTCACATAATTCAAATGAGGATTTGACTTTGAAAAGAAATTTAAGGTACTGAAGATTTCCTATTTTATTCTAGTGGCATTGTTATTTCTGTGGAACCAATTTAATATTTTTCAAAGGTCAAGAAAGTTTTTCTACTTAAAATTACTTTGGCCACACCAACCCAAGTAGTCAGGCTTTTTAAAAAATTCACAAGGGTCATAAAAATAATTCTCATAGGAGTTTGGTCTATTTAAATATGAAGAATAGAATAAAACTTTCCACAGTTAACTGTGGTAAATATTCCTGGGTCCTGCAAAAACCGTAAGGTTCCACATTCTGTGGTTATGTGAATTATGTGAGTCCTCCACCAGATATGTCAGTATTTGATCTCCGACAGGTCATTGAAACTTTTACGAGTATTTGTCGTCTGTATTCCCTGTTTCTGTGGCACCGTCAACCAGTCACCCAAGCTAAAAATCTTTCATTCAGCTTTGCCCCCTCCCTTTCTATGTGCCCTCTCATCACATCTCTCGCCAAATCCTATTGATTTCATCTACTTAATCTATTTAGCATTCAAATCCTCCCGACTTCCACCAGAGAACACTGGACCAGATTAATTAAAAAACCCTACAAGCTTCTTTCCACATTATCCATCACCTTCCCACTTCTAGTAAGAACTGTCTGACAAACTCTCCTGAAAACCATTCTGTGCTAGTCCCTTGTCTGGATCAGTGGGGTTCTCAACTGTGATCTAAAATGGGACTAAGCAAATTTATTCTCTAGCCTTTTACAGAAAATACTTTAGGCTTTGAGAGCAATATGGTCTCTTTCACAAGACTCAATTCTGCCACTGTGGTGTAAAAGCATAGGCAATAAATAAACAAATGAGCATAGTGTTTCAGTCTAAATGCATCAGCCTCACATTAATAACTTTCCATTAAATAACCTGTTCTGAAACCAAACTGAATTATTTGATCTGTCATCCACATCTTTACTCATGATTTTTCATCTGCTTAACACATCTTTTCCCAATCGGGTCTCAAGAATTTGCCTTCAAGACCCATTTCAAATGCCACCTCTTCTACAAACCTCTGCTTGATCAGCATAAATGGGAAAGATTGTTTCCTTCCTCTTAATTCCCACAGCTTTTCTCATCTTTCACCAAACGTTTTATTTTCTGCTATTCATGCTGGGAGCAACTATCTTATGCTCACCTGCATGTTCTTCCTTCATATGCCAGATTCATGTCTTTATTCACCTGTGTATATTTCCCTAGATTTGTATTTTGAAGATAATAAATACTTGTTGAACAAATGAATGAGTAAATGAATGAATGAATCATCCCAAGTCTTAAGAATCAAAAGCTCCTGGGGAGCCAGAGAAGAAAGCAACAGAAATGTTCCCTAACCTTAGTTATTCGTTCCTCCTTAACTCAACACTTTCTTCACCAACACTGATATAAACTTAAGCCCAATGCTAAAATCATCCACACTGTTAGTAGCTAGTGTTTAAAAGCTTAAAGACTAATGCCATGGAACCACATAAGTAGCAACACACCTGATTTTTTTATCCTTAATCATGCCTTCATCTTAATAGAAATCTGTATTTCCACAGATAATACTACAAACTAATACTATGGAAACACCCCTGCACCCCCCCCCAAAAAAAACACCAGTTGAAAATGTCCACCCAGTTGAATTTGCAGAATAAAATACAATAAAATCAGAGAGGAAATGATTATATTTATGTAGAAATTATAGAGGAAAGGGAAAAGAATTGGCTCATATAAAGTGGGTACTAACTTAAAAACTAAACATTACTGAGATGTATGTAATTCTGTTTCTAGAATATAGAATTCTTACTGAGGCTGGTAGAGGCATCAGTGAGGATACGGCTGAGCTGCAGGGTCACTTTCTCCAGACTGCTTTCTGAGAATGGGGTACACTGGAGTAACACCTAGCAGAGACAGCAGCCAACGAGAGAATGGTGGTAAGACGTGAAACTGCTCTAGCTGCTAGGTATGTGTGGGGCCGTGAGGCACACCACTTGTTTTTAGGTCTGTCTATTTGTAAAATAAATGGTTAAAAGATGGTTAATTAAATGAAAATCGCCCTCTAGTTTTAAGTGATAGTTAAGTTTTACCTCTGCAACACTGGAACTTTCATATCTGACACATATTTAGTGCACAATCAGTATTCACTGAATCAGTGAAGAAATTTTTAAAAACTATTTTTAAATCTACAACATTTACTATTACATAGCTACAACAGTCAGATACAACATATATATAGAGCTATGGACAGAAAGATGTATAAAGAGGGTGAGATTCTGTCCCAGTCAGCCCCCTGATCCAACCACAGGAGCTAGTACCATATTTTGCACATAACATATGCTTAAACATGTTTACCTGAACAAAATTCAAGGTGTACACAATATGGTTTGTGAAAAACATATAATACATATGTGTGTATACATATTTATACACACACACATAAAATAGACAAATACATATGAAGAGTACCATGGTATGGATTTAATGTTGAATGCTTTTGTGTACAATTTGTTTCTTCCTCATTCCCACATACCCACAAATATACTCAGCAGATATTAACAAAAACATTTGAAAAATTTGAAAAAAAAGTCACTTATCTGCTGCTTAATTCCTAAACGTATTTCGTAATATCTGGATGAGCCAGAAGGCAGTGCAATATATCTAAATGACAGCTAATGATTTCAATCCTTCCTTCAAAGAAAAAGGAAAGAAGAAAAACGTACTAAAGAAACTGAGAAAACTCTGATGTATTTTGGTTTTCCTTCATGCTATCGTAATGAAATGTTGTCCACTGCTAATGAGTAGGCTCTTTGTGTCTGCAAGTTTAAACTGTCTTCACTGCCAGGAAGGAGTCCATCCAACAAATCTGCCATAGTTAGTTAAAATTATAGCCATCATACTTGAAGAGCTTGCATTCAGAAACTTTTTACTCTGTCTTCTGTACAAACTGTGTTACAATATAAAATGTCAACATACTGATTATGAACTTGAATTATGTGAGGGATAAAATATGTATTTCAAAGAATACAAAAAGATAGGATCTAATCACCTACAGAATTAATACACATAAATTATACTTCCTATCACAATAACAAAACCAAAAATATTTCCACAGCAAAATCATCCAATAAAACATAATCTCACAATTTTCTAAAAGTAAGTGACTCTAAAGAGACTATTCCAACATTCAAGTTTTTCTGAAAATAACCACTTTTCTTTCATTTTAGGTTTGTTCAGCTTTGTTCCCAGCATTAGTATGAGAGTTCCTTGAGGGTAGATTTCTGTTCATCTCTTCCTATACAGTTAAGTTCAAAGCCTGGATCACAGTTTGCACTTAAGTATACTAAATGCAAAGTGAAAAATCTGCTCTCTGATCTCACTTTTGCAGTAAAATAAATTCAATTAGAAGCCAACAGAAACAAACACTGGCTGACACATGAAAGTCAGAAGCAACAGTGTCATTTTCATGGTTTTTATTCAAAATTCAAATTTTTGAATTAATTTCAATTTTTGAGATTTAGAAAATGTGGATTCTCTTCTACCTTTATAAATAATTTTATTTCTCCAAATGAATGCAGAAAAATAATCTTTAAAAGTAGTTTCAAAGTATCCATTATATTTCTCCCTCTTGCAAGATCTGTTTTTCCCTCTTTTAATGTAATTTATTGTTATCTAATATTTCTTGATTCCTTGTTATTTATCCCAATAATTTATAAACCAGTAGCCCCCAGCTTGAATTTCTGGAAATACAATTATAGTTCAACATAATCAGTAAATAGAAGCTAGCAATATACAATCAAAATGATAGGCATATACCCTAACAGCAAAGAGCAGTGTGATTAAGACATTCCTCACTTCTCAATTAGTGTTCCTTTATCTTGGATCAGTCTCCCAGACCACAGCTAGAAAACTACTATAATAATGGATTTACTTTATATTCATTTTAATTCTATATCAACTTTTGGACTGTAACAATGACTAAGTCCAGTCTAGTGTTTTAACTTCAGTCTTTCTTACGACTGTCATTAGCAAAAGCCTATAAATTGCAAAATTGATTCCTTTATCTTACCTCAAAGTCATACTGTTAATACATTTAAACACATACATTAATGAACTGAGGTGTTTCTGTACACCAAAATGCTTGGGTAAATACTTTCCTAGAGGAAATACTCCTTTGGTAGCCCAATAGCCACCAGCAAATAGGTCTTTCAAATATTTCATATACTGGGAGTCTTTCAAAATGAAGCACATGTGCATTCTGACTACTGGCATTAGCTATATTCAATACCACCAAAAATAAAAATTTCTGCTAGGTCCAAATTCAAAGTCAAATAATAGCATAGACTTCATTACCAATTACTTTTCTCCTAGAGAATTTTCTTCAGTCTAAAAGAAAAAGAATAAACAACCAAAGTTTCATTAGACATTTATCTTATACCCAAAAATATTCTACCACATGGTTAAGCTAGGGTCTGGACTCTGCTGGCTGTTATCTTACTATATCCAGCACATAACAAGTTTGTGGGGATTTTCACTATGTACCTAATTTACTTAGACAAACACCTTTTGTTACATATTGGTCTAAATATCATTTTTTTTTAAACTGGTCATACTATATAATAATAATTTGTTCTGTCTGTATACAATGTAACTGGAGTAACAGAAATACATCCTCTACAATGTAATTCTAGAAGTAATGTAAAGTACCTTATTATACAACTCAAAATGCTCCATCACCTTGACTAAGGTGAATTACAAAATCATTATATAATAATTTTTTCCCCATAAGGGAATCTGCAGCTACCAAATTTCAATATTTGTCCCCAAAATCTTTATGAGACTATTCAAAAGAACTCATAGCATTTGGTCCATTAAGATTATCAAATTCATTTTATTTATTGGTAGTTGCTCTAATGAAGGCAAAACTGTCAGCTTTACAAATCATCTTAAGTGCAATGAAACACAGACACATACACACCCTGCCATATGAAATAACTTGAAAAAAAAGTTCACGGACTTTTTCCTATGAAGACTTCAGTTTCCATTTTAAGAACCCAAACCCTTGACAAATATTTAATTTTATATAAATTAAACATGATAAACCTTACCCTCAGAGTATATAAACATCTAGTCTCTAATTTTAAACATTCATGCAAAAGTCAGTTTAGAATACATATTCCCATGGAAGCAATGTTATAAAATTATTTCCAAATTAACTTATAAAAGATCATTTTGTGACACTAGCAGTGTTCTAAAATTGAGTGGTAATGATAATTGCCCAACTGTGCAATTCACTAAAATTACTGAATTTTACACTTAAAAGGACTATTATGTCAAGGTATATAAATTATTCCTCAATAAAGCTGTCTTTTTAAAAAGCCCATCTAAATTAAGTATATAAATTTGTATATTTTTTCATATAGCAGTGACCTGTATTTCCATAAAACTATTAAGTTGAAACTGTTCTTTAAAAATCACTTAAGAAATATTAATTTGTTTATTAAAATCAATATAATAAATATATTTTGAATTCTAGCTTTGACTAGAGGTGAGCTTAATTAGAAGATTAGCAGAATGGTATCCCATTTTAAATAATTTATCAACAGCCTAATTCATTTCTCCCAGACCTTAGGTTACCCACAATTTTCAACTGTATTGATGACTCTGTATACAATACCTTTTTTAAAGAGTGCGGTTTAAAAAAAATTAATAACAGGAGAAACAAGCTCCAAAGTGGCACCAGCTGCACATCCCTCTTTTCCTTGGCTACATTCTCCTCATCTCCAGGTACTTCCAGGAGGATGCCCATGGTGGGTGACAGAGAATGTTAATGATTCTTCTTAGACAGTGGCTTGGCTGAGCGGGGCCTCCATCCTTTCACTCAGCTGGCTGTACTCACAGTAGAAGTTGTCAGAAATTTGTCTGTTTAGTTCACTAATACATCCCACACTAACAGTACCTGGCAGTGCATCTTCCATTAAAATTTTGTTCTTTTTTTATCAAGCTGTCTTAAAGCACTGCCTAAATAAACAAATGCAACCTCAAGCAGGCTTCAGATACCTCAAAGTGTCCCTTTTCTTATTAGAAATAAATTGACCCCTTATTAAACCAGTTTCCGTTAATGCCAACTCTCAGATGGTGGAAAGAGGAAATGGAATAGGAGGCTGAAGGCAGAGAAAAAGGAGCTCTTCCTAAAATGCAAAAGGAGGCTTAGGAAACTAAAACCACTACTGGCTCACATATAGTAACTTTTACAAGGAGAATTTTCCTTAAAGGCAAAATCAAAATGTACAAGCAGCAAGTTCAAGTTGACTAAAATGGTTATTTGAAATCCATGGTAATTTTAAACCAAACCATATTCAACATTTAAACCAAATAGTTATAATGAGCTTCTTATTCTTTTTCCAAGGGTAGAAATGTATATATTATAAGATTCTATAGAAAAACTCTCCAGTATACATGCTAACAGCAGATATACCACATCTTATGTTGCAGAAATAGGTAACTATAAGCAGAACTTCATTCCTTTCCTAGAGGACATTAGGGAAGTTCTAAAGATGCAAGTATATGGACTCTTCCAAAACTTTTAAATGTTGATGGCACCAGGACTTCATTGTGTCTATTTTCATTTCAAAACTTAATCCTTTCCTATTTGCTCATTTGCATAAAAAGCATTTCTCTTACTTTCACCTGCAACAATTTGTGATTTTGGATTTTCAAACTGAAGGAAAGAAATAGTGAAACTTCCCTGAGGTAGAGGGAAAATGCACGGGAATTTAAGATGAACAATTAATGATTAAAAAATAAAAATAAAAAAGAAGGTAGAGAAAGTGGAAAATAGAAAGTGGTACCCACTAATAACTCATGACACCCTGACATCATTAAAAACATGTTAGGAGAAGGTAAAGAAAGACAGTGGACATTTCAAATTAACTAGAAGGGAAGTAAAACAATACAGACAAAAAAATTATTAGAAAGCATTTTTTTTCTTAGCAAACATAGGCTTTCTTATTTTTCACTTCTAACTTTTCATGATCTATTTAATCCCAGTTGACCACAATCCACTGAGTTACTCTTCAATAAAAAAGTTCACCATGATCTTTACTTTATCTCAAGTCATGACTGAGACATATTACAAAAAAAAATGCTAGTTCATTCCTTGTTTTTTCATTGGTGTTTATGGTAACTCAACAAATTTGATCATATTACATAACTATGCCAGACTGTGGCTTTATAATTCTAAGTAAAATCTACTTTTTAAAACAATAATCCCTTATGAATAAAATAATGTAATCTATAATCTACAAATATGAATTTAAATTTACTAAAAAAATAATTTAATATAGACTTAAAAATCCACAGTTCATTTCTCTTACCATTCAGTAAACAAAACAACCAAATCCTCTTGATTGGCATAATGTTCCATGACTTCTTTCATTAATCTCACTTTTTGGCCCCCTCCAATACTATTAAATCTATCACCACCTTTCCATTCTTCTCCTCGTCCAAGGACCTATAAATGAAATTAACATTTCATTCCTGAGCAAAACTCCGATTATGATAGTATCATAAAAACTGGGAGTCATCAGCAACTTGTATGGTATTACATAGTAAGCACTGCTTAAACATTTTACTAAATCATGATGCTAGACAGAAAATAACGATGCCTAGGTCAGGTCATAATTCTTCAGTGTTATTCACCCATTAAATGCCATTTCCACATTTACCATTTCAAAAGTAGAGTCTAATTCAAGGAGGCTGGGAGCTGGGGGGCCCACAAAAAGTATCTCTCATAACTTATTTCTATCTGTTCAGACTAAAATGAAAAAGAAAATGAAGAAACCTTCCATAACACTTCAATCTGGCAGGAAATATGCATCCCGAACAATGAAAGCCACTGATGCTCGGTGACTCCCGGACACAGGGCCCTTGAGCCATCTTCCTACTGAGCCAAATGGTTTGTTCAGGTATACACAGAAGGCAGCATGCCAAATGTCACCGTCTTCACCTTAGAAATATTAAACTTACATTACCCTCAAAAGATTAAAAGTAATTTATCATTGCAAGAAATTGCCTGAGCATAATTCATCAGAGCTACCCTTGTAGCCATTCCCATCGCTGTTTTCCTTAGCCTCAGCAGCTGCCTCCTGACTTGGAAGTGCATGGTTACACTCCTGGCCTGGAGGAGGGAAGTGTATGTCCCCCTCCACCACATACAACTTGTATCTTAATTTCATCAAAACAAAGGCTCAAGTTCCAAGATAATGATCTACTAGGAGATTTATGAAATCAAATGGGAATGAAATTAAAAATAAATACAAAAAACAGTGGATAAAATAAATTTAGAGAACAAACATTATTAGTTCCAACTTTACTAAACACTGAGCCAAATATAAACCTGGCTGGCAAAGTCCATGGGGCTCCCACCCTCAGATCCTAAGCTCACTTCATCAATACCTATACTGAAGGTTGGGGGACAAATGCTGGCCAAGAAAATGCAGTGATGTGGATCTGGATTCATACTGGGTCTCGTCTAATAGAAGCATTAGGTCTTGTCCTAAAAAAATGACTTCCTCTGGCCCTGAGAGTTGTCACCCTACTGTCCTGTTCCATAATCCTTCTGCACTTGTCCAATACTGCAGTAATTCTAAGCCCAGCCTCATTGAGAGCATACTCTGTGAAGTGCATTATGTTAAGCTCTGCTCTCTATTTTCTTTCTACTGCATCAGTGTATCAAACTTTAGCCTGCATCAAAATCACACGGAAGGCTTGCTAAAACACAGACTTATGGATCCTACTCCCAGAGTTTGTGATTCAGTAGGTCTGATATGGGACCTGAGAATCTTCATTTCTAACTATTTCCCAGAAAATGCTGATGCTAGTGGTCTGAGGTCTACACTTTAAGAACCACTACATCTCATAATGGGAAGACAACAGAAGAATTAAAAACTCCCATCAGTCAAAAGGAGGCTGTGGTCTAAGATTTGACACTTTACAGCTACATACCCCAAGTCGTTTTCCTCACTCAAAAACAAAGAAGTATCTATCTTACCTGGTTTATGTAATCAATCAACAGCATACCATATATAAAGTCCCTAACACAGTACTTCACACATAAGAAACATTCCACACTCTCCCTAGTCTGAACCCTAAAGATTCCCATCATTGGATTTCAGATTATTTTACCTTGATTTTTCTGTTATTTCTAGGGTGCTTCCTATCACCCACTATATTTCTCCTCTAGCCTAACAAACTTCTAGCACATTTTTCATTTATCCTGTACTAAACATCTAGTTGCTAGCACTAGATCTCTTTTCAAGCAAAGATTAGCCTCTAGGAATTTGTTCTATATTGGCATCTGTACTTAGTCTTCCAGTGCTTATGTAACGAATACTGCCTTCTTTCTAGATTACATACTGGAACAGCTTAATTTCTCCCTAGGCAAAGCAATGTCTCCCTGTTCCCCCTTTTTTTTAAGTTTTGTGGGTTGTTTGGGGGATTTCTTTGTAAATGTGTGAAGTTTGTTCATTTATTTTCCTACCTGGGATACCTTCCCATTCTCCTCTTATTTGTAGAAAAGACCTGGCTGACAGATCCTCACTTCTATAAAGAAAATAAATGAGTAAATAAAAATAGGCCAGCTTTTCACAACTTAGTTTACTAGTCTTATCATATTCTCCAGATTTCCTCTGATCATTTATCAATGGGATACATCCCTGGAGACAAGTCTAAAATATTTTTATAATGTCCCCAAATTCCTCTAAAGCAAACAAATAGGAAAAGCAACTCTTAATAATGGACAGAAAAGGTATACCCTTCCCAGTGATGTTTCCAATTCTCTGTATGCAAAGAAACTATAAAGACACGTCCATTACAGAAAAAAATTCTTCAAAGAAAAAAATTACTGTCAAATCTTCATAATGTTTTGCTTGTATATGACACCCCAAAAAGAAACATAAATACATACAATTTCTGTTGTTTTATAGAAAAATGTTTATACAAAGCATTAGCAAATATTAAAAATTATTACCTTAGTGGCAGAATATTAAAAAAGCCAAAATATATCTTTAAATCAATCAAGTATGTATATGTAAACCAATAGCAATTATGTAACCAAACTTCATTGTCCTTCTATGGACTGAAGATCATGTTGCTGTTGTTATTGTTACGAAAAATGTACTTTCGGCACATATTCTAACATCTCTATGAATTAAAAGTATACTGTACCTTCACAGTATAATTGAAGTATTTGGCTGACTGCATAAATCGATGGAATCCATCACTTTCTTTTGTTGCTACAGTTATGACTAATAATTTATCTGCAAAGACAGACAGGAATAACGGTAAGATGGTTTACCAAGAGGCTAAAAGCTCCCACTTTACAACTCACTATAAGTGATTAGCATCCTCATTAAACCCATGGGAATGCTCTGGCTTGTTAATCTTCATAAGGCTAAACAAAGAATTGTTGATAAACAGGCAATTCAAAGTGGTTATAGTACAGCCAAATGAGCCATCAAATGAATTATTTTAACAGTAAGAAAGTGCATGAACATTTAAGGAAAGCCATGCCCTCAAAAAAGAATTTCAACACTAGGAGAAATACTCCCATAAAAATACAAAAAGCTTTTATCTGTAAAGACTGAGGTTCTCCTAGACATTATCTAATCAACCAGCTTCACTGTTGCCTATTAAGTCACCACGATTTATTACACACAATGGTGAGACCTGAACTGCATTACATTCATCAAAACGCCAACACATACAAATCAAGGACCCAATTATGAGACTGATCCTATTTCTTAAAAACAAATTTTGATGAATTGGGATCAAATAATTTACAAAAAGAATCTCAGCTTTTTCCCCTATTGATGAATTTTCGTAATTAAAAGTCTTAAAAGGCACAACATTGACATCACTTTCAGTGCTTTATAATGAATAAAGGAACCAAAATCATCACTGCCATAGTAAATACACAGCTTTTAGTCATCATTTTATAAAGGGCTATTATTTTCAATCCAACACAATACCACTTTTTAGTAGAAGTAGGTAAATTTAAGGAATCATTTCAAAATATCTATAAAATAGTAAAGAAAATGCTTATCAGGAAAAGACAGGTTGGAAAATGCATAAGAGTAACAAGTGCATCAGGAAATGTCAACAGGGCTGGGACTTTTTTTTTAACCTGAAGATACAGAGGACCCATGGATTAAGAAAATAAAATCAACACCCTTTTAAAATTCTACACATTGCCCTCAACAAAGATCCAGGCGCTGCTACAGCTGTAGCTGCATTCATCCCACTGGTTCCTGGACTTGCCATGGGAATGAACAAGGAGTTATCTAAGCTGTCCTCTGCATACAGTAAAACAACAAATTTGACTGGATCTATACTGTTGGAACTCAACCAAGAATTAGAAGTGCAAGTTGTAGTGCTCCAAAATCTTACAATTACAGACTATCTACTGTTAAAAGAACATATGGGATGTGAACAGTTCCCAGGAATGGGTTGTTTTAATTTGTCTGATTTCTCTCAGACTGTTCAAGTACAGTTGGATAATATCCATAATATCATAGATAAATTTTCACAAATGCCTAGGATGCCTAACTGGTTTTCTTGGTTTCACTGGAGATGGCTGGTAATTATAGATCTGCTTTGGTTATGTAACTGTATTCCTATTATGTTAAGGTGTGTGCGCAATTTAATTAGTAGCTTAAAAACTATACATGCTTAAGTTTCTCTACAAGAAGATACGTCAAAGAAATAATCAATCTTCCCATGTTTTCTTACGCCTGCTACTTCTATAGCTTTTCTTCTTCCTTCCTAATTACAACTCTTAAATAGAATTCGTGCCTCATATCGAATTTACCGAGTATCATAATTCCTCCAGGTGGTAAAGATACCTCGAGACAAGTGCTGGGCATAGAAGCCACAGGGCATAAATCTGCAAAGAAGTAAAAAGCTAACCTTTGCAAACAATATGGCTTCTCTCTCACTTACCAACTTTACATTTCCCTGTATGGCCCCGGAAGATGACTGGTTAGCCAGAGACGGGTAAGATTCCTCAAGGGAGGAACAACCTAAGACAGGCACAGTCGCAGGGGGGCCATCAGGTGAGAATTTGGGGATCAACAGAGGTGAGGCTCAGAACCTCACCCCCCCTGCTTTGAGAGAAATCTTCTGCATCCGTGGATGTCTTGCTGCCCTTGTCTAGCCTGGATTAATACTTAGTCCATAGGCACACACCTGATCATCTGATCATCTACATTTGCCTTCTTACAGCACTAAACTATGTTTTCTACCTTTATCTTGCATCTACCTACCACTTCAGCATTTTATTAAAAATAAAAATAATAATAATAATAGGAGAAATGTGGGATCAACATATAAATCAAGTACAAAAATCAAATGAATATTCATATTTGACCTGATGGTTTATAGGTCATATTGCATGATCAAAACCGAAAGTTTCTGTGATGAATGCCCTTGTACTGTTCACCATGTAAGAATTTATTCACTATGTAAGAATTTGTTCACCGTGTAAGAACTTGTTCGTTATGCTTCAGAAGATTGGAGACTGATGAGAATTAGGCTTGGGGTGGATTAATGATTGTGCATTGAGCATTGACTCCCCTATATAGAATTTTATTGTTGTTAACAACCATTTGATCAATAAATATGAGATATGCCCTCTCAAAAAAAAAAAATTCTACGCATTGCACGGTATCATTTGATTCTTGCCCATTATCAATAAGAAAAAGTTCAGAAGGTGTTAAGTGTCTATTGAACAATAGATAGATCATCAGAAATAGCATTAATGAATTATAGGACTAAATTGGAAGTTATATATAAATCAAAGTAGTTCTTCAAATTTTGAAAATAACTACACAGTAAAATAAGTGCAATACACATAAAGAAATAATAAATTTAAACATTCATTAGTCAAACAAAAAAAGGAAAACAGTTCTATGAACATAGATATTAATATACATAAATCATTTTCATAAAGTGTCAGGTCCCATTTAAACATAAAAAAGAGTACTTTTTCAGTTAGTTATCCTTTTTTAAAAAAATTATTTCATTTGTAAAGTTCCAAAAGTTTCACATTTTGACATTACCATTCACAATAAATTTCAAGATAGGGAATACTAGATTTTATTTTATAAGACTAAAGAGCTTTATTTTAAAGTCTCTGAAAAAAATGTCTGCATTTAAAGACTTACTTAACTTTTTCTACATAAATCTTAAGAACAAGCAGAGGTTTAAATTTTGACTAGATGGGTTTTTGAACTTATCATTTCCAGTATAAAATTAAAGTCAAGGATTTCATCACCTTTAATAGGAAAAGTAATGTTGGCCAGACCCTTGCACAGACAGAAATGTTACCAAATCCAATGACTCAGAAGGCAAAACTAAAAATGTATAGTCTGACTGTGTCTGGAAATCCTATGCCAAGTAAGGATTCCTGTTTCAGCACTTCTGCTCTTTACAAAAAACCAAATAAGTAAGTAATTTGGTTAAAGGGAGGGAATGTTATTGATATCATATATAAACATGTTTCCCCTTACCTGCTATTCAGTGTCATTACAGTGACAAGAAATAAATCTTATTCAATTGAAGGAAGTAAAAGAAGGAAGTGCTGATAGGTCACAAGCACAACCATTTAAGAGCCCAATTTGTTCATCACTGATGAAGAATGTTTGGCCAAAAAAGTTAACCTAAGTTTGATACACCTGTTAGCTTTCTCTAAAATTTACACTACAAATTTACCAAAAATATAAGGACAACAGACAAAGGAATCAAAGGCAGACGGAAAAACGGGAAGGAAAACTGTTACAGTACATTAACAGAATTAAGAGACAATTCAAGCAAATGCAAATCATGGACTTCAGCTGGCTACTGATTTGAAAAACTAAATGCAAAAGGTTTTTCTGAGAATACTAGGAAAATTGGAATGCTAATTGGATATTTGTTGATATTCAGAAATTACTGAAATTTTTAGCATGCTAATGGTATTGAATTTTTTTTAAAGAGTCTTATAATTTAAAGACATAAATCTAAAGGATTTACCCAATGAAAAGTATAGTGTTTGTGACTTGTAAAGTTACTTGGGATAGACAGGAGGCAACAGAGGAGGATAAAAATTAAACAAGACTGGCCATATGTGATGACTTTTGGATTCCTTTTGTTTACATTTGGAAATTACAATTAAAAAAAGAAAGCTCAACTTTATACACAATCCCTAAACCTCCAATCTGAAAAATGACAGAAAAATATTTAGTGTAAAACTTAACAGTCTGAATCATCTAAGTAAAAGATGAAACAGCAGAAATTTCCCAACCAAATTATAATTTAACAACTATAAGTAGTGCCTTACCCAATCTACCCACCACAACCAAAATGATAAAGGGAGATGATTGAGGAAATAGACTTGAATAAAAGGCACTCATCAACCACTACAAACCAGTTTACAATGGTGTCAAAGAAAAGGCAAATGGAAGCTCAACTGGATCCAAATGTAACCTCTATAACCACTGTCTGACTCTATTAGAAATAGACAAATATAATTTGCATGAACAAAAAACATGTAATACATCCGCAGAATGTGGTAGAATACAACCACCACTTGCCAATGAAAATCACATCATAGCAAAAGCAAAACAAAACAACAAACAAAAAAACTTCTGTAATCATCTTTACAAAGTTCCTCAAAACACCTATCACTATAGTAAGATGTAATAAATATTGCAGTGGCTAAATATTTAGCTCTCTACAAAAATTCAAATGAATATGAAAATTTCTCCAAGAATCAAGAATTCTTTAGAAAGGCCAAGACATCCGATGTTCTCTTTTTTTAATGCACTTATAATTCTGGAAGGGGAGAAGGGGTGCAATACATAGCCATTTCTTTCTCCACACAGTTGCTGATGTAAAAGCAAAAATTTATCATTAATTAATGATTTTTCTTTTCAAAACCAAACCATAGGTTTAAAACAGAGTTTTTTGCTATTAAGTCCTGTTTCCAATGCAAAATCAGAACATAAAATCCATCTGAAATTCACCATCTTAATGACAGACATCACATTAAGTAACTCAGCACGAACCCAGCTGCCTTTGATCCCATGACTGAGAGATAAACCTCCTATTTTCCCAAGAAACTTTCCCCAGGCAAACAGGTTCTTCATTTTAAATTTGCAAATATCAAGAAAAATAATTCTACCATATTGTGAGTACACTATTCTCACTTTGCAGCTAACCAGACATGTCCTTAATTTGTAAAAATCAGTAGTAGCTCTCAACTTTCTACTTAAGGCACATG